CAAAGAACATCGGCCACTACTTAGGTGTACCAGTGATTCATGACAAGGTATCAAGGGCAACATATACCGAGCTCATTGATCATATCGACGCGAGGTTGGCAGGATGGAAAGTCAAGACGCTATCCCTCGCAGGGTGGATTACATTATCGCAATCAGTCTTATCTTCGCTCTCGGCCTACACTATGCATACCTCGTTTGTTCTGGCTTCTGTCCGAGATTACATTGATAGGAAGATTTGGGTTTTATTTGGGGGAGTTCGGAGCAAGGGAGGAAGGTACATCTGGTAGACTGGGAGACACTTTGCAAACCAAAGGAGGAGGGCGGTCTGAATATGCACAACGCCACTCGGATGAACGAGGCGTTCATGATGAAGATAGCATGGCGTTTGATGACGGAAACCGAATCCCTGTGGGCACGTGTGGTGCGCAGCAAATACTTGAGACAAACCGATAAAGGGTGGCAGCCAAGAACGGAAGGCAGGATGTCTAATCTGTGGAGAGGAGTTCTGAGGATCCTGCACTATATACCAATGGGGATGATGTGGAATATTAAGAGCGGGGCTCAAACGAGGTTTTGGGATGATTGCTGGCTCCAAGATGGGCCACCGCTAGCCGAATTTGCTTATGGCATTCCTGTTGAAGCCAGGTACCTGACCGTGGCAGACTTAGTTCTCAACGGCGAGTGAAATATCCCGTACATCCTTTCTTTTCTTCCCGAACCCTTAGTTATGCAGGTGATGCTGCACCCCGTCCCTAGTGAGCAAGGCCCTGATGTTCCAGTCTGGCGCCCATCTCCTACGGGACTGTTCACCATCAAGTCGGCCTGCGAGCTCTTGCATGAGGAGGAGGGTGTCGGGCAAACCCACCCAGTTTGGAGAAGATCTTGGCGGATTCCAGGTCCCCAAAGAACAAGATCTTTATTCTGGCTTGTACTCCATAACAAGCTGCTTACCAATGGAGAACGTCATCTTGCTCAAGGAGACGCCTGTCCAATTTGTGGAAATGGTCCAGAAACAACTATGCATGTCATCCGGGATTGCCCGTACGCCCGTGCAGTCTGGTCGGAAGTTCTTCGGGATGAGCCCGACCACACTTTCTTTCAGGAAGATAGGAACAAGTGGGCGCTACACTACCTATCGGGTCGGAGCGCAGTGGTGGATCCTTCCCTCTTCGCGGTTCTTTGTTGGAAGCTCTAGAAAAATAAAAATTCATGGGTGCTTGATAAGCTACTGGCGCCGACTTGGGTGTTTGCAAAACAAGGCATGGAAATGCAACAACAATGTCAGAGTGCCTTCACCAAGACGCAGCGAGCTATGGGTGTGGGAGATGGAAGAAGCACGAGGATGCTCGGTTGGGACAGGACGCCTTCAAGGTGGGTAGCTTTAAACACAGAGGGGTCCGTAGTTCTGTCTTCGGCGAGTGCTACGGCGGGCGGAATCCTTCGGGACAGCAATGGCAGGTTCTTTAGAGCTTTTTCAGCAAACTTGGGTGATCGGTCTATTATGCATGCGGAACTTGCTGGGATTTATAATGGTCTGCACCTCACATGGAAGATGGGGTACGAAAAGTGCGTTTACAGACGGATTTGACGACGGCAATTGCCATTATCCAGACGAATCGGGATAATCACCCTCACCGCACGATGGCAGCATCCATCCGGAAGCTCCTCGATTGAGATTGGAAGGTAACCTTAGAGCATGTCTTTCGGGAGAGTAATTACATTGTTGATTACATGGCCGTAGTTGGTCATTTGTTGTCCTTTGGGGTCCATGTTGTGGATAACCCGCGTCCTAGTTTGAGGTACTGGTTGTTGTTTGATTCTGTTGGCGTTCAAACGCCTCGTATTATTAATGATTAAGGGTTAGAGTGCCCCCCTTGCGCTATGGTTTCCAGTTTCCACCAAAAAAAATTATATTTACGCGAGTTCCATTTCACGATGTTTAAGTGACAGAATATTCTGGTCATTAATGAATGATCTGTGTTCTTAAAGTTTCAGAAATATAGTCAACGATTACGTACTCTATTTGTGATTCTAAATTGCGTGTTCACTCCAAAATAAAGAGTTAGGTGTCTTGGCTGTGAATATGGTTGAAAGTTCTTAGTTGTGAATTGAATTAAAGATTCTTAATTGTAAATTACGTACTCCTTGCTGAGATACTCAACAAAAGGCAAATATTTCATAGTTAAAATTGCTTATGCGGAAATTTGGGAGTCAGTAACTAATACTAACAATCATCTCTAAGAGTTGAGAATCTTGGTTCATAGCTAATTTCAGCGGTCTAGAATCGATACTCGGATGAGAGTCAAATGTCGAAGTTAGAGACTAATGATCCTTAATTATGGAAAAAACTTAATGAAGGTCACTAGGCTTGATAACTCAATGATTTGGTAACAAACATTACCTGAGGTATAGGCAAAGGGAAAGATTTTTTATTAGTATTCTTAATGACAAGAGTTGAGAATCATTAACCAATGTTACGAATCATTTGTAGTTTGTACTAAAAAAGGAATCATATATAGAGGTTGAGAATGAGTGTATAAAATTAATTTTGGATAATTAATATCAACAAATGTTCCAAACTATATATCAAGCATACTATCATGTTGTTCATTATGCAAGCTACTCTCTCCACAACAAACGTTGTTGAGTCGAATCATGTCAATATATTCAGATTGATTTCTCTTCTCCGAAGAGGAAAATACAAATTTAGCGCATGATATATATTTTTATGTGCTAATTAACGTGTGATTCATTAAACTTATTATTTAGTTCCACTTCTCAACGACTTTCATTTTCTTTATATTATGAGAATTATGATTTCTCAACGACTTTCACTTCCTTTATATCTGGAGAGTTATACTAAAATGTTAGGTTTATAAAATAATTTAAACAAAATGCATCACATTCATCATGGTGGTACAATTTGTTTTTAATGAAATGGTTGTATAAATATTGAGACAATTTAATTATCTATATTTATGTGGTGATACATATATATCCGCTGTCAATCGTATTTCAACTTACCCAACCAAGAGGTCAGGCCCTAATCTAGTGAGTATTATTTTTGTCGTGATACTCAAAAAGGATTTTTTTTTTTTTTTTGGCAAGGATTCTTTTTGGATAGTTTAAAAATACTCAAAAATTAATTCAACAATATAGTACTCAAATATGTTAGGACACTACTAGAAAATGCACATACAGCTATTGAAGTGTTTGTAGCTAAAGTATAAGATTTTGGTAGCTAAACTGTATAGCTAAAAAAAAAAATTTGTAGCTTGTGTAGCTAAAAGTGGCACAACTAAAAGTTAGCTACACAAGTTTTCATTTATGTAGCTAATAACACGTACTTTTAGCTATACAAGAAGTATATTGTAGCAAAGAGACTTTAGCCACAAAGTAAATTTTGGTAGCAAAATCACAAAAACATTTAGCCACGTTAGATTAGGATATAGCTTAATGTATTGTATTGTTATGAATTATTAAGTTGAAGCTAAACGTTATACTTCTTGCCATGAATAACGAGGTAGCTATAGCTTTGACAAATTGACGATCTATAGTTCATGCTATAAAAATATATGTGGCTATATGGTTGGATGCATATTTTCTTTATTCATTTTTTTCTTTTAAACAAAATATGTTATATTCTATATATTAGAGAAATAAGTTTATAATTTACTGTATATATAAAATAGGTCTACAGGAACATGATGAAGAATTACATAGGACAAAAGGTAAAAAAAGAAATTTTGATATAGTAAGAAAGTATAAATAATTGTTACATTCATTTCACAAGAAATATAATAGTTTATGTACAAAGCATTTGAATCAATAACAATTTACATTACAAAAGAGAGTATTTACAATATAATTTCATCCTTCCTCGTCTATAACTTTCTTCCATCTAAACAAACTTAGTATTGTCTCATCACCTGTCAAAACAACAATCAAAAGAAAAGAGGAATTGAATGTTAGTTGTTTGATTGATTGGAGGCGCAAGCCAAGAAAAAAGAAGAAAGGGTTACAGGTAGGGCTGTTAATGAACCAAACCGCTCATGAACGACTCTGTGTGAGACTCGAGAAAAACTCGTTCGACACTCGATTAGTTTTAATCGAGCCGGCTCGCGACCAAGCTCGTTAACTAAACGAGCCGAACTCGAGCCATACCATGTTCAGCTCGAAAGCTCGCGAACAAGCTCATTTAATGGTTTAGCATAAAAAAGTATTAGAATTTACGGATTTCATATATTGAAATTGATATAGATATTGTGTTTTACTTTGCTAGACTTTGCTATAGGTTTGAATGTAATTTTGTGAGCAGTTTTAGGTCAATCTTGAGCTATCATGAACATTTTATGAGTTGAACTCGATTTTGGACTTGTTAAGCTTATATGACGAGCCGAACTTGAACTTTCATTTTCATAAACGAGCCGAGCTCGAGCTTGCATATTAAAGCTCGTGACGAACACGAGCCGAGCTCAAGCCTAGAAATATATTAACGAGCCGAGCCCGAACTATGACAAAACTCGACTCGACTCGGCTCATTAACAAACCTAGTTACAGGTGAGTCTGGAGAGTTTGGACAACACTCCGAGGTAAAACAACATCTCTCTCGTCGTCCTGCAAAATGGGTCTCAAGGGGGCCGGCGGGTCAACCAGTTCATACATACCATGGGGATAGACGAGACCGTGCTTCGAGAGCTAGTCCGCGGCTCTATTCCCTTCACGGTAAGTATGAACTATGTTGACCAACCAGTCCTGCGCCACCAACCTGCGAATAGATCTCAGAAGAGATGCCAAAGGGTGGACATGATCCACTCGGTGCTGAATCAAATCAATAGCTAGCCGGGAATCGGACTCAACAATTAGAAGTCTGAGACCTCTCTTCCAAGCCATCTCGAGTCCTTGCTTGATTGCCCACAACTCGGCGCAGGCCGCCGAGCAGTCTCCAATGGAATAGCAAAAACCACCCAACCATCGCCGTTGATCATCTTTGAAGACTGCTCCTGCTGCGGCTTTCCCAGGGTTCCCTTGGGAGGCCCCGTCAACGTTAAGCTTACACCAACATCTAGGTGGCGCCACCCATCCTATATCGGTCACGACACGGTTCGGCTTAAAACTTCCTCGAAGCAACAAAGGAGAGGGAGCCATCCGTGCCGAATGCCAGATATGAACCTTGAGATGGGTAGTTGTTATGTCTACCAACAATAGACAGCAACAAAAGAGGAATTGAATGTTAGTTTATACACCTTACCTCGCAAGGGAAAGTTGTTGTTGTCACATTGGTTCCGAAAAAACTATATGAGAAAGTGTACACTCACAAAGCAATATCCACCAGTAGGGCCGAAATCTGTGCACAAGAGAAAGCAATAGAATAGAAAACTTGGAAATCCTTTGTCATGTGTGAAAGATTGAGCAGTGAAAGAAATTATCATCAAAGGTTCTACTCCTCCAGCTTCATGCATCCATTCTTTCGATTCACAAAAGCCTAGACAATATCAATGCTATAATGGAATCCATAAACAGAAGGGAAGAAGAGACAAACCCGAAGCCAGTGATCAAGGCTTGAAGCGTAACCCATGTCCGTCATAAATCCCTTGCTCATTCTTTATCGATCTTCAGATTTGTTACGAACGCCATTGAACAAGCTCCCATTTTTTTCATGATCGCAACCACCGGTCGCATATCTCGTCTACCTCGCAATCGAGCTCTCTTCTTCTCCTATCGGATTGGGAATCGGTGGCGGCTGCTAAGAAGCCTTCGTATAGTTTTTTTTTTTTTTTACATGTGTGTATATATTATGTTTCTTAATATATCCAACCCTAAAATATGTCCTCGCTAACCCACTGGGCCGCTGAACTAAACTGATTTTGGCCTCTTAGTGCATGGCCGAACAAATGTTAGTTTGGTTTAGTGTGACCTCATTATTATACAATTATAAACGGACCTCACTTGTCATCAAAATAAATAAACAAATGGTCCTCATTGATTTCAAATCTTCACATTTAACCGTTATCTCAAATTTTGTATATACTTTAAATTGAGTCTAGATTCAATTTTGGGTCTTACCAATGAGAATTTTTACAATGTTTGGTGCTTTAGTTTTTACCTTTATGGTACAAGTTGAAGTTGTACCTTTAACGTTATGGTACAACATCAGGTTGTACCTATACTCTTTTGTAAAATCTCTTTATGCTACAAATTAAAGTTGTACATTTATGTTATTGTACAACTTGAAGTTGTACCACAACATTAAGTTCAAATTCCTTTATGATACAACTTCAATTTGTATCTTTGACGTTATGGAACAATTTAAACTTATATATTAAAGCACAAATAATTTAAAGTATAGTAAAAGTGCTCTTAATTAATACCCTACGAGAATAGAAATTCTTTCTCTGGGTGAGCAATTGAAACTGAAGAATTAAAATGGTGTGCTGGTGCATAACTAATTTGGTTAACTATAACTAATATAAATACTAAAATAAATAATTAAACCAATAGCCAAATGAGAAGAAAAATAATTTTTTTTAATTTTTTTTTATAAGGGTGAAAATTGCCATTAACCAAACTGAAAAAAGAAAGAGTACAGAACAAACAAAAAGGCTCAAGAGAATTGAGCCGAACCTAAACAATACAACACAAAAAGAACCAAAACATCTAAGAAATGGAAAAGAGAACACCAGTCAAGGAAGAACAAGCAAAGATAAGAAAGCAAAACAAAGGGAGTCAGTTGAACCAGAACAACCGCACTCCCAAACGGCGCACGACGGCCGCCACCAGGAGCCTGGCCACCAAAAAGCAAAAACCAGCACCACAAACAGCACAACCATCGGCGAGAACAACTGTAGTTACGAGGATGAAAATCAGCAACCCACTCAACAGATCCATCACGGCCGACAGCACCCCGACAAGCACCGTTCAGATTTCTGAAGAACAAAGGTAGCAGTCTCACAGCCGCTTCCTTTCCAGCAAAGTATCCAGCAAACAACCAGCAACCAACGTGAAAGCAACAAGACGCACCCCAATCCTCGAAAGTGATCGAGTGAATCATCCCAGTTTGTGCAGAATGCGACCCTTCCTCCCATCCTTCGCAATTGGTGCAGCATGCACCACATCCTCCCTTCCAACTCAACTTGCAGCCTGCACCATACCGAGAGACCAGCAGAATCCCTCTTTGCTGACACACTACCTCCTCAATCCGCCGCCGTCACCTGACCCATCAACCTTGGACCTTCCGAGCCACCACTTCAACACAGAGACCTTAAAAATCCCAAAATTAAACCCTACAGTCGAACCAAAGACTGGAAACCACCCTTGACCCTCACAATCCAACCAAAGTTTCCCTAAACCATCGAAAACCTTCATCCGTTTGAACTTTCCCATGCGCAGTGATCCATTCTAGAACGTTCCTAGCCGCCCTCCGAGCCACCACACTAGCAGGCTGACATTTATCTTCAAATACCCGGTGATTCCTCTCGATCCAGACACTCCACCAAACTGCGTGCAGAATACAATCCTTAAACCACGACTCAATACTGTCCAACTTACCCGATTCCCAGCACTTAATGAAATCGGGTATAACCCTCCCCTGATTCCGCTCCACCCAACTACTCCCAAAGATGGATCTCCAAACATCCTGTACATAAACGCAATCCGCAAGCAGATGAACCACTGTTTCCTCTTTGCACAAGCACATATAGCATCTGTTAGCCAGACTCCACCCCTTCCTCATAAGATTGTCCATAGTAAGAACCTTATTATGGTACACCAGCCACAAGAAAAAGCAGATTTTACTAGGAACCACCATCTTCCACACCTGTTTGACTGGGAAATCCGGCACATTAGGAAGCTTCAGCTTAACCAAGTTCCTATACATGGAACTTACGGAGAACCTGCCATTCGAATCAACATTCCAAACCATTCTGCAAGGACTACAAGAGTTTCTCAACAAATCAGTAGACTCTAACAAATTAAATAAATCCAAACGTTCCCTCTCAGCCCCACCCCTCAAAGAAAATTTAAAATTAATATTCCAGCTCACCATCTCACCGTTGAAGATTACAGAATCGGAGAGCGTAGCTAAAGGATCCGAGGCGGCTGCTGCAGCACGGGGGAAGGCGTTCGATAGCAAGATACCCGGAATCCAATGATCATGCCAGAAGGAAATTTGTGTACCATTGCCAGGCTCCAGATTAGCAAACTTCCAGAAATTATCATACTCCGTAGAAATATTTGCCCACACCGAATGAGAGAAACCCCGGGCAGCCCTAGGAGTCTTCCACATAGAAGCCGGACTTGAGTATTTGATGTTTATCATTTCGCGCCACCAGCTCCTCCTTTCAACAGCGTATCTCCATAACCACTTAGATAGCATCGCATCGTTAATCGCCTTTAAATCGTGAATTCCCAATCCCCCTGCATTCTTCTCGGCCTTGCACCAATTCCACCCCACAAGAGCCATTTTACTGTTCTCCCCAACTCCATTCCACAGAAAGTTCTTTTGAATCTTTTCCAAATTAGTGATGACAGAAGCAGGCGCCTTGAACAATGAGAACAGATAAGTAGGCATGTTGGACAGCACTGCTCTAATAAGCACCAATCTAGCTCCATAAGAGAGATGTCTACTACCCCAACCACCCAGTTTATTCTGCATCTTCCCCACAATAGGATCCCAAATAGAAGGATCATTCGGTTTCGCGCCCAGCGGGAAACCGAGATACTTAGGGGGGTTCTTGCTCCATTTACACCCAAAAATGGCAGCGAAAAAGCTTGGGTCAGCAACATCTCCCACCGTGTACATCACCGATTTGTCCAAGTTGATCCTTAGGCCCGTTACAGTTTGAAAGCAAGCGACTGTAGCAAGGACATGAAGCACTTGCTCGTGGTTTGCATCACAAAAAATCAAAGTATCATCTGCAAACAGGAGATGCATAACTTCCCCCTTTTAGACTCTTCGTCCATAAAGAATCCCTCAAATTTTCCATCTTACCGAATCGAATTTAACATCCACGACAGAAGCTCCATTACCAAAACAAAAAGGCCGGGAGAGAGAGGATCTCCCTGACGCAACCCCTTAGAAACTGAGAAGAAACCATTGGATTCCCCATTCACCAAAACTGAGATAAAGGAGGAACACATGGAACCTTTAACCCAACCCAACCACTTCTCCGAGATACCAGTAGCATTCAAAAGTTTAAATAAACAACCCCAGTTAACGTTGTCGAAAGCCTTCTCGATATCAAGCTTGAACATCAATCCTGGTCTTCTGTTCTTTTTACGGCTATCCACCAATTCATTAGCAATGAGCCCGGCTTCAGATATCTGCCTACCTTGCACCGAAGACAATTGTTGCTGGGAAATCAACTTAGGAAGAACCACACAGAGTCTTCTCGACAAGACTTTATTCACCAACTTGTTCAAGCACCCCATCAAATTAATAGGCCTCAGATCCTTAATATCTTCAATTACGTCCTTCTTAGGTGTTAAGCAGACAAAGGAGTGAGTAGTACATTTAGGAAGATACCCATTCACATAGAATTCTTGGAAAGCTTTCAACAGATCACTTTTCAGCCAACTCCAGCACCTTTTAAAGAACTCAAGACTGAAGCCATCCGGACCCGGAGCCTTACTGCCATCACAATCTTTTAGCGCCTCCAAAATCTCTTGTTCAGTGAAGGGACGCTCCAGCAACAGAATGTCGGCAATTTCAAGCCTTGGAATGCAATGGCCCCCTGGAAAAGGTCGATTGGGTATCGTTTCTTTAAATAGCTCTTGGTAGAAACCAACGATCCCCGTCTTTACATCATCTTTATCCTCGATCATTTGACCATTAATTCTGATCCGATCCACAAAGTTCACCTTCCTCCTGTAATTAGCAACTTTATGAAAATAGCCCGTATTCTTCTCTCCAACTTTGATCCAAATCTCTCTAGACTTCTGTCGCCAACAAATTTCTTGATATAACAGCAACCTGCTGAGTTCTAGCTCGCACCTGAGTCTAATATTCTTCTCATCATCTCCCAGAGGACGCATCTCCTCCAAAGAATCCAGCTCTTTAATTTTTTGAAGTGATTCCCCGATTTTAAAATCTACGTTCCCAAACACTTGTTTGTTCCACACCTTAAGTTTTGCTTTAATCAGAAGGAGTCTCTGAGCAAGGAGGAACATAGCCCCGTTACCCTGTACCCTCTCACCCATCCAAGAGTTCAAATTCTCATAAAATCTCTCATCCTCCAGCCACATGTTCTGAAAACGCCATGGCCTCTTAATCCTTCTATCCTGGACCCACTTGAGGATCAACAAGTTATGATCCGATTCCACTCTCTCCATGGCAGTCAAAGTGCAATCCGGATAAAAAAAACATCAAAGTCTTGAGAAATAAGGACTCTATCAATGCGAGACCGAGAATCCCTGTTCAACCCGTGACTCCAAGTGAACCTGCTTCCCCCAAGCGGCAACTCAATCAACCCGATATTGTCAATGAAAGAGTTGAACTCAAACATCAATTCCGAACTTCTTCTAATTCCTTGATAATCATCATGATTCCTAACCATATTAAAGTCTCCCGCAATACAAATAGGCCCAGACTGTCGAGAGCAAAAGTTCTGTATTTCACTCAGAAAAATCAACTTGTCTGTTCTCTCCTGCGGTTCATACACAACCACAAAATGCCATACTTTAGAACTGCAGATCTCTAGCAATTCAACCTCAATAAAATGATTACCTTCCGAGCTGGAGAGTTTAGTGTAGAAGAGCTT